TTTCTCTTAATATAGGATTAAACTATAGGTTAATTTATATGAATTATTTTTTCTTAAATGCATTAGTTTAGGTAAACTATAGGATACTTAATATTATATTTTAATTTCAAATTATAATTATAAATGAATTTTATATTGCATTTAAAAATTTGTTATGTATATATCTAATTTAATTGTAATTATTTTTGGGGACTTGAAATATTAGGATAAACGATATTTAAATTTTTTTAATTTTTAATTTTTCTCTTAATATAGGATTAAACCATAGGTTAATTGATATGAATTATTTTTCTTAAATGAATTAGTTTTATAAAGGGATTTTTAATATTTTATTGAATATTTTTGTTGTATATATTTAATTCAATTATAATTATTTTTGGGGACTTGAAATATTAGGATAAATAATATTTAAATTTTTTATTTTTATTTTTTCTCTTAGTATAGAATTAAACCATAAGTTATTTGATGTGAATTATTTTTCGTAGATGAATTAGTTTAGGTAAACTATAAGATTCTTAATATTATATTTTTTATTTTAAATTATAATTATAAATGGATTCTTAACATTATTGAATTATTGGATTTTGTAAAATAATGTTTATAAATGTTTAATTAATTTTTTCAACAGATTGATGGATATTCCGAGTAGTTCACCGCCTCGTGAGGGTAATTTTTCAACAATGCTCGGTGAAGGAATCATATGACACACCGTAGTACACGGACATGAATCAAAATCTCCCTCGACGTTCGTGTCGAATGAGTCACTATTTGGAACTAAACCTTCATCCACCTCCTCTTCGTTGGAGCTGTTAGACGGCACGTCATAACGTACTCATCTTGCGTAGGAGGCATTTCAAACGACATTGGTGGCAGTGATAGTGGTGGGGGTGACGCATACATAACTTCAGGATTCACCAACGACTCTCTGTTCATGTCGATTGAGTGAATGGAAGGGAGAGAATGTTGACTGCTAGATCGTCCACCTGAGTCAACTCCCGCATACAATTCAATAATGTCAAGTTTGTGTCATTTTTAAATGCATCTACTAACAGTGTGACATTTTCATCCTCAACAATCTTCACAACAACCCAACTCTCTTTACCGAAAGTGCATCTCGCAGTCAACTGAGACAAGTGTTGGCCTCGTTGTAATCTCAACTTCTTGTATGTTATCTTCTTCAGATCATGAAAACTACATCGAGAGCTCATGCGAAACATTTTGTATCTCCTTCAAAAACTTGACCACTAGGACCAAATTATCTCTTTCCATTATAATATACAATAGCAACAATTGAATCATTTTCATCACCCATTTTGAAAAAATAACAGAGGCGGGAAAATAACACGAACAAAACTTCAAATATATACCCAAACAAAAAAGGAAAGTAATATGACAGAGAACTGGAAATTTTAGAATGTAGAAGAAAAAAACACGTGGGAGAAATAAAAATTCCTAATATGAAACCAGATGAAAAAGGAAATAACCAGAAAGAAGTTAAAAATTTAATATGTAACCACTTCAAATGAAGATACCGAAAATAAAAAAAAAAGTTGATCAGAGAAGGAAACAACACCGAGAATAGTAACAAATTAGCTACCTACGACACTATCAGAAATGGAAAGGCTTTTTACAGAGGAAAATAACACAAATAACATCGAACAATTTTGGTATGTTTGTAAGTCGCTTTATAATACCATTACTGGGCCAAAATCGCTACCTATATTATCTACTATGGTCCTGCAACGCATACCTGCCACAGTAAGCCAAATTCACTGCCTTTCCTAGCGACTTTGATCCCATAGGCCTGCCAATACAGACAGTAGCCCATAGACGCTACACAACACGGCTACTTTGGTCAAATGACCGACATGCGGCTGATTCACCCCAAACGTAGCTGCTTTAGTGCAACAGGCCTCCAAGGCTTTTTTAGTCACTGGGAACATGGCACGTGTCTCGTTTATAGTAGCTATGTACCTCATTGACTATGGTGCCATGACAATTTAAAAAAAAATTTACACTACGTGACATTGAGATATATTATACCGAGAAAAATTAGGACAGTAATGTCCCTAAATAATAAAGCTTTTGGCTAAATCTCGTTCAGAAGCTACAAAAAGAACTAATGCGCCAGTCATAAAAATAAGGGTTTTATAAGAGTTATGTTGTAGGAAAAGTGATTGTGTAATGTTATAGAGATTCGTTTTGCGTGCCATAGTTTTTTTTTTTTTAAACATACGGGTCCCACAAAATATTGTGTGTGTAGGAAATTTTTTGTAGTCATGTTAAATGATAGAATGCAAACTCTAAAAATAATGGATGTAGCTTGTATTGTACAATATATTTTTTTGGTATCCTTGTACTGTACAATATTAAGTACACTAGACTCTAACCATGGATCGCCGTCTATTTTACTATTTTATATTAAATTAATTTTACTAGATAATTGTTTTGGAAAAGAAACAATTTTACTATTCTATATTAAAATAATTTTTTATTTAATCGTAATTCAAGAAGTGATGTTTTGAGAAGTAAAATTGCTTTAAACACCCAATTAACAATTAAAAAAAAGACAACTGCTAAAAAAGAAAAGAAAAGAAAAACTCTTTCAAGGGGACAATTCTCACTCATCGTCATATAATGAGATTATAATTGGTAATTTATTCGTCAAAGAAGATAAATTACATAAAGGAGTAACTATCTTAAAATATTAAACTATTAAATGAAAGTATTTGAATAATTTTATGGGTTCATTTTTTTAATGTTATTTTAAAAAAAATTTGTCTAATGTTTATCGAAATAACGTCGTTTTAGGACGAAAATTATGGTATATTTGTAATTTCAATTTATTCCAAGGTTATAATAATCTTTATCATTCTAATTTTTTAATCTTTCAACCCAAAACGACGTTATTTCATTAAATATTAGACAAAATTTTCCAAAATAACATTAGATACTTTATTTCCTAATTTATATTTAGTACTTTATTCATGTAAAAGTTATATGGACTCAAAGTACTATATATATGTAGGTTCACATTATCTTGTGTAAAAAATTAACTTTTATTTGAATGATGGAGGTAATTAGGGGTTAAACTCTATAAACTGATCATATCATATGTCATAAACAATTCTCCCAGAATTGAAGTTGCTGAATTAATAAAAGTAAATAAATGATTTTACATGTACCAGTTAACAATTCTTTTTCTATAACTAGTATTTAACTAATTAGTGATCCTCTATATAGAAAAGAATCAACTTATATATCCATATAAGTCTAAAATGTTTCACACTCATTCACTACTAGAAAAATCCTGTATAGCGAGGAAATTGCTATGCAAATTCCGTCGCTAATTTCATCCTGGCTACTACTTTCCCTCGCAAATTCTCACACAAAATCGTTTGCGAGGGAAAGTAGTAGCGAGGATGAAATTAACGACAGAATTTGCTTAGCAATTCCCTCGCTATACAGAATTTTTCTAGTAGTGATTATTAATAGTTGATTCTACCTTCATGTAACAGTTGTAAAAGGATTCAGGTGGTTTATTAATCCCTAATAAATTACATACATTAGTCAAAAATAACTAACAGGGTAAGATTTTCTAAACTTAGAAGTCCTCTATCACAGGTTTTTTTTTTCAATTTTTTTAGTGTTCTATTGGTCCATTGCAATGATCACATTGTTGTTGGCCACACCAACTGAAAAACAATTGTTTTCCTGAAATAAGTATGGAGGATGGACTTTTGACTTTCAAATAAATAATGCATACAAACATAGTTGCAAGCCTAACCTTGTTAATATGAATAAAATATTCGCTTTTTCCTCGAGCTTAAATTAAGTTAATGTTGAGAGAGAGAGAGAGAGAGGTGTACATGGTATGGTTTAGTTCAGAAAACTAGTGTGAATTAAATTGAATCGGAAATAAACCATAAAAATTGAATTGGGTTGTTTTTATTTTGTGAGGAAAGAAGCAAACTAAACTGGTTATTTAATTAGTTTGGTAAACCAGTTTGTACTATTCCCAAATTTCTTAATCATTTGCCACAAATCACACGAACCATCAACCTTTCTCAAATGAACTAGAAATTGGAATAGGAAACACTAAAAATTTGGACGACAACGTAGCTATCTACGTCGGGCGTTGAATAGTAACGTCGAGCTTCGAATTGTAGTGAGTTGGGATCCAACGCCAGTGATGAGCTACGAAGTATGGTACTATGGTAGCTTTGTCACAACTATGCTGCCATTACTGTCTTATTGAAAAGTCCTGTCACCAGAAGTTTCGAATTGAAGTATGGGGATTGGAGAAACTAACGTTAGAGAGGTTTCAATCACATTAAATAGGTTTGGATACAATAAAAATCCTGCCATCCAATGGACCTGCCAAAAAAATTAGGTCGTTATATAAACCGTTTTGAACAATTCAGATTTTTATGATTTAATTTAGTGCAGTTCAGCAGTTCAATTTGGGTGTTGGATTATTTTGCCCACGCCTGGTTCCATGTCGAAATAAATAAACTTGCTGCAAAACAAACAATCAGCAAATTTGAGGAAAGAAATAGAAAATCCCGAAACAATAGTGCAAATCCAATCAAGCACAACTAAACGATCATTACAAGTTTACAACCTAGTAGTAAAACCGATAATGATTTACATTGTGGGTAAAGGTAAAGCTCTATCTATTAATTAATGAAGATATCAACCCTAGGTAACCAGACTTTCCATAGCTAAAGAATCCAAAATTAACCCACGAAGAAGAGATTATTTATTACGAGCGAGATGACTATTTTTTAGGTGATTTTTGAGTGTAAATAGGAGAGTAAAATTGGAAAAAAAATAATAATAAGAATAAAAAGAAAAAAAAAATTAATATTGTAAGAGAAAACATCAAAAGATTCAGTGATCCTGACGATATAAAATATTTCTCGGTAAGACCCAACCCTTCAAGATATATTTGATTAGGAGGAAAAAAAAAAAAATCTTTTTTTATCTCTCTCTGTAGTCTAGCCAGCGGGCATAGACAATTTCGCGGTCTGGTCCAACACGTGAAGAAACTCCGACCTGCTCCTCAGAACCCTATGAAAAACCTCTCTAATTTGTTGCTGTAAGGGTTCCAATCCCTCTTCCATCTTCCTACAAATTTGTGCCAAGTCTTCAACCTGTGCCTTCACCTCTTCCAAACGCCCTGCCTCCGCCGGAAACTGAAACGAATCGGCAAACTCAATCAACGACTGCCCCAGCTTTCGCAACCCATGAATCTCTCCCAAAAGCCCCACAGACCCTTTCTTCTTCGAAATCTTCTCCTGAAACCCAATCATGGGCTGAACCCAACCCCATTGCCGCGGCAAAGTTCCCAAACCGTTTCTCTGTTGACAGGGTATGGCCGCAACCAAAGCCCACATAACAAACACCAATACGGCACTCATCATGCAAACAGGCAAAGCCAAGCCAGAGGATTCTCCACCGCGTGGCGCTACTACATTGGAAGAAAGCGATGGAAAATTCCCTTTTCGCTTAAATGAACTGATTCTCTCATTGTCCTCAATCATCATCGACGTGACTAGTGAGTTCAATGCCTTCTTAGCGCGTCGAACTTGACCATCACCGAGTGGCCTCTGTTCCAATGCAGAGACCGCTATCCGTGCGAGTCTCTGCAAGTTTTTGAGGGTCTCCACGCCGTCACTAACTGCATTGCAAATATCAAGTGATTTGACCATGCGGTCAATGAGCTCCGGGATGAGGCGATCGAGGCTCACCGTGTGGTCGCGACTCGCTGTGAGAAGAAGGTCTTTGAATTGGGATTCGCAGCAGAGGAACACGTCAAGGAGGTTTCTGAGCCAGGCGATGGACAGCGTGTCCTCGTTCGGCGATGACAAGAGAGTGGAGAATTGGTCAGTAACATTTTTGTGGAGGTGTTCTACTTCTGCCTCTTGATCTTTGTTGCCTTCCATGGTCGTTACTTGGTTTCTACGTATTATGCTTATTCGGCCCAGAAAAGAACTCTGATAGTGATACTCTGTTGCCCTCATTGTTTTCTTTTTAGTGTACGACACGGGGTTGGATCAATATCAATGGGCAGAGGACACGGTGAGAAATGAGAATGAAATAGCACGAGAGAAAATAAAACAACATGATCAGAGGAAGGAGTGATGTGAATGAACGCGCGTTATTTTGTGCCATGCGACGCTTCCGCACGATCTATGATACGCCCTCGCTCTCTCTTTTGACTTTAAATCAAATTTTCTGTGCTGGTTCAGTAGCGACTCCCCACCTCACACCATATCACCAGTGCTAATTCTTCTAGTTTTGACCCACTCATTCGTTGCCACACGTGCTGCGGTCAGTTTTTTTTTTATTTATTTTTTTCCTTCTTGTATCCTAATAATAATAACGAGAAAGATTGTACTTACAATTTTTTTTTTACAACTTTTTACAATCGTATCTTAACTCCGTTTGATTTTTGTCAATCAACGGTTATTATTTTCGTAAATTAAACTCATTAATTAATTATTAATTCACGATAAATAATAACCGTTGATTGGTGGAAATCAATGGTGTTAAGATATGATTGTTAGAGGTGGTAAAAAAAAAGTTGTAAGTATAATCTTCTTCAATAATAATATAACATTTATAAATAAATTTTTGGAGACTTTAATCTGGTCAGATTTGAGAATAATGTCGGAAAATCATAAAATGCAATTGAACGAAAATACAAGTGTGGTAAAAGTAAGATTTGCAAGTGAATGTAGCTTAAATTTCTTGGATATGATGAATGAATTTATCTTCTATATTAGGGGAAATTCATGCATTGTGTAGATTAAATAATTAAAATAATTAAATAATGAAATTAATGTTTATCCTTTTAAAGGATATTAAATTGTGTCATTTTAATTAAAATTACTGTATTTTATGGTGAGAGAAACAAAAATCACTGTAGAAGAAAATAATTTTTTAATTTAAATGTTAAATAAAAAACAATAGTTTTATTTAAAATAACTATCCTTTAAAAAGATAAATATTTTTTCCATAAATAATTGCAGGGTAAAATTTTGTCACACACAAGAGTTTAAACAGTTTTGTCACTAAATTTTAAGCAAAAAGTATTAATTATTTTAAATGATATAAAGTTATGTCATTTTAAGAAAGACACAATAATACTTTTTTATTTAAAAATTAAATTAAAAAAGTCATCCACCTTCTTCTCCATGATTTCTATTCCTTATGTCTATCTCTTTCTTAAAATAACATAACTTATGTCTTTTAAAAAGACAAACATTAAACCCAAATTTTAAAATATGTAATTTTTTACATATGACTCATAATTTAAAAAACTTCTTAGATTTTTTTCGTAATAGTTTTTGGGTCACATTACCTTACCATAAAGTATTGAATTAAGTAACATATATTTTTAACAAACTGTGAAAATAAATTAATTACTTAATCACGTAAATTTGACCACAAGCTCGTTTAATCATTTATGCAACTATACAAGTGATTTAATTAGTTACAAAAAAATATACAATTATCTATTTATTCAATTGTATTAATCACTACTGTATCAAATTAGTTGTTAAAAATCAGTGATGTGCAATTAATAAATTTACCTTGAGCTATTGAACGCATTACTCCCACCTCTGAAGTACCGTCACTTCAAAAATTCTAACGTGTCGTGTCCGACACTCTCTGACACTCCAACACACGTTATAAAAATTCAAAAAAAGGTTCAAAAGTTGCGTTGCGTTAAGTTTTTGGTTTCAACTATTAGATTCGTTGGATTACGATTATCATTTTATTGAGTTTAGTTTTATTTTTTGTTAAATTATTGAATATTAAATATAATATACACTACACAAATTAAAAATATTATTTAATATAAAAATGTGTCCTAATTTGTAGAAATCTAACATTTTTTAGAATTAACGTGTCAAAATATCGTATCATGTAGTGTCACGTGTCTCGTATCAGTATCGGTGCTACATACACTCCCACTACAAAATCAATCAAGATTACCCAGATGATTGTGCCACAATTCATGTTTAATAATCGCAATAGTAGCTATCCTGATAAAAAAAAAGGTTATATAAAAATAAAAAATAAAAAACAGAGAATAAATATAAGATTATCAATTCGGGACTTTAGGTGAATCCGGACCATGGCCTTGGCTGCAAGTCTGAAACTGCCCTCTAGCAATTCGTTTATGAGAATATTATTTTTGACTTTGTTAAAAAAAAAAAAAAAAAAAAAAAAAAAAACCTCACATACTCACTTAAAAGTCAGCGGGTCTTATTAATTTTATTCTCTTTATTCTTTTCACAATAAAATCTACTTTTTTAATGTGAATATGATAGAAAATAATTTTCCACAACAAAACTATAAATGTTTCTGCTAAATTGCATAAAACTACAATAAAAAGTGTTTGATGTAACTTTGCATCAACATAAAAATCAATTTAACATGGTATGAAAAGTAAAAGACAGTGTAAGAAAAAAATGAATGTAAAGAATAAAAAAACAAAAGTTAATAATATACTCTATTTGACAATTTTTTTAATGAAATTTTATACTGATTTCATTAATAAATAATAAACCCATGTTTTTTTAATAAAAGTAGCATGAGATTTTATTTGAAAATAAAGATTTTAAAAAATAAATATAAAAAATACGCTATTAACATTTCTTCTAAAAAAAGAAGGAAAAAAAGAAGTAAGGATGGCCTTCTTTCACATGGGTTGGGCCAATAATCATGCAGCCCAAAGGCTCAATATAAGATGTAACACAATTATATGGAATCCAAATAGGTAAATACATGTTATCAAAAATAAAATAAAATAGGTAAATACAAATAATTAGTTTCAAAATAACGGGGTCGAGCCCACAACGTCTATAAATGGAAAGGAAAAACACAAAACCTTTTTAAATCCTTCACATTTTTAATTTTTTTAATTTTTTATTTTTATCTCCTCATGCGATAAATAGGGATTTCTGATGACACAATTAGGCGTTTTTGGCGATTACTCCTCTCGACGCGTTTTTTCCTCACACACGAATCCACCATTAAAAGTGAAATTGATTTGACATAATTTAAATTATCTAAAAACCAAATTTATTGTTTAAAATTATTTATAGAATATATAATTTACTTCACTAATTTTACTTTACTTCCCTTTATTATAATGGGTAAAGTCGGTAAACAAATAAGGATGAAATTAAGAATTAAAGCTATCAAAATTAAAAATCAACCAAACTTGAATACACACAGCTTGAACAAAAAAGATTTCAAAATCAAATACATTTCAAACATATAATTTAATTAAAAATCAAAACAATTGTTTCAAACATGTTAAATTAAAGATTTATCGGGGGGAAAATGCCTCGGAGTGTTTGTAGTTGATGTTTGCTGCCGCTACCATTTCTGTAATCCTCATCCATCTACACTTCATACTTCAAAGCCTTCTCGAGGTTTTTGGTGTGTATCCCTTTAGTTGTGCCAACAAGTTCAGTACTTGTTCATATACGTAGTAAGTAGTAATAAGGAGTAGCAACTTGAAACTTTAATTAACTTTGTCTTTGAATGTTTTAATTGCACGAAAAATTCTCATTCAGCAAGTCTACGGCTGAAGAAATAACATCACTTTGAAACTTTTTTTTTACTTTTTTTTTCCTCCTTAAATCCCATATGTTCTTCTCCAAGAATACCTGTTTTGTGAAAGCTAATGAGATTAGTGATTTCCTGAATATTGACCTAGCAGGAGACTTAAGAAAATACCTAAGGATCCCTTTACAGCATGGTAGGGTTTTCAGAGCCTCTCTAGGTCATGTTCTAGAATGTGTTCATAATCGTTTGAATACATGGAGCCACATGTCCCTTTCTTTTGCCAGTAGGACTACGTTGGCTAGATCAGTGTGGTTGCTGCCTTCCCAGCTTATACTGTGCAATATGTCATGTTCTCCTACAGTTCTGCGATGACTTGGATCGCTTTACCAGAAGCTTTATCTGGGGGTCTACTCCAAATCAAAGGAAATCTCATCTTATGAATTGGGAAACTCTTTCTCTTCCGAAGAACAATGAGAGAGTTGGTATGAGACAATCCAGACTCATGAATAAATCTGTTCTGGATAGCCCACTCACATGGGCCCAACCGTTAGGCCCAGCCTAAAGAGCCCTCTTCTAGAAGGCAACTTAGGGTTCCCCCTCTTCCCCATGCACACCAGCTGCCCCTGCACAAGTGCAGGGGTTCAGCATGCCTAGCCAGAAAAGGCTAGGCTGGCTAGGTTGACTAGGGCTCTTGCTCTAAATACCCTCTCTCACATTGAGGGACTGATCATTTTCTTCTCCATTCAACTTTGTGCGCTGCCAGGAGGAGAACAACCCCAGCCATACACACACACTCCCCCCTTGAGCACATACATGGGAAGCTCCACCAGTGCCTTGGTCTCTACCATGGTTACTATGAACACCCCTATATCAATATACTTCACCCTCACGGGAGACATCTATGTACCACTAACAGTACAAAACCTATAATCATGAAGGTAGGCCACGTGTTACTACCTAAACGAGACTCTTTTTGGGTGAAGGCGATCCGTAACAAGTATAATCTAGGGGATGATTTGATTCCTAGCTAATGTGAGAAGAACATCTGAGAAGTCGAATCTCTGGAAGGGAGTGCACTCTTATTGGCCGAAGATAGTGGAAGGCTTAAGAATTCATCTTGGAGATGGTAACAACACTAACTTTTGGTTTGATCACTGGATTCCTGATATGGTCAGACTTTTGGATGATGTTACTAACGTTATCCATGAGCCTCTAATCTCCTGGAATGTAACCAAGTTTATGAATTCGCAAAGGGAATGGAACTGGAGTTTATTTCAACACCTCTTACCCCTACATATAGTTAATAAGATTGCTGGTATTATCCCCTTTTGCCGAATGAAAGGGCTGATAGGGTCAT